TTCTCATCAGTCCAGTTAACAATACTATAAAGTTATCTTCAATAGATAATAACCCATTTATTTGTCCCGTAAATGACTTGCCTCTCTATGTTTAGCATAAGGTGTACTTTCTTGAGTACAGAGATAGGGACCAGCAGATGCAGCAGATGCCGTAATGGTTACATTGATGGACTCCTGTGTAAGTTGACTGTAGTTCGAGTACCAGACCCTCTGGCTTCAAACTCGTGCCCAGCATATGTGCTCAAGTGTCCAAAATCCAGAGAAAAGTGGAGGAGAAGGGATTGCTAGAGTGGCCAAACTCCTTGGGGGTGATTGTTCGCTTTTTGTCTCTCTCAGTCTCTCTGATGAATGCACTTGTCCTATAGCCAAAATCACTCTAAAAAAAGAAAAAGTGCTATTGTGGCCTAAATATTGCTGGATTGATATCAGGCTGTTGTGGTGAAGATAAGGTGCACATCAAAATTAGGTTAAAAAACTTCCACAACTTGTTTCAATCCTTCAATTAGTGGAGCAAATTACTTTTCTTGTCAGTTCCTAGGCTGACAATTAGTTCTGCATTGGTATTGTTGCCTATGAAACTCATTATCAAAGGCAAACTATTCAACTGAACCACCTACTTGTTGTAGTAACAGATGATACTTCTTTTTTGAAAGTCCCAATTTGCTCTCTTGGTCTATTGCAAGGGCAAAAGTAGGCAGGAAGCCAGGTCTCAGTGCATGCTCTGAACAATTATCCCTTCTGGTTCTGGGCTTCCTGGTTCTCCCTGCCACAACCTCTGGGATGGCTTCAAAGACAGGTTGTTTCTCAAGCCACTGTCACATGATTTGGGACCTCGTTTGCATTGTAGGGAGAACTTGCTATACTTCGGATGCCTGGGGGAACCTATTTGTTTACTTTTAATTTCTAAAATATGTGTTTTTTTTCCAAATGTTAATGAAACTGAGATTTTATTTTTGAGAGAGGTTTTTGCCACAGGGCATGTGCACTTGCCAGACAGACAGAGAGAGACAGAGAGACAGAAAGCAAGAAATCACCCGCTGGGGGATGGCCACGCCACAATCCCTTCTCCTCCATTCTCCTCCTGAGATCTTGGGCACGCATGCAAACATGCCCGATGTGAGTTTTAAGCCACCGGGTCCAGGGCTCGAACCGCAATCGACTACATGGGAGACCAGCGACATAGCCATTACACTAACTGCTGATCCCATGAAACTAAGAATTTTTGAATCCCGATTTTTTTTTTCACTTAAAATTTTAGCAGAGGAAATTTTAGATGAGATCTTCCTTCCCAAATCATGAACTACTTGATAGAGTTATATGAATTCACTTTCTCTTGTTCCATTCCTGATACTGTATAAATGCTAAGTCTTCTCTACTGGCAGGTGATGACATGATAAGAAGGAGACAACACTCTTGGCTAAACAAGGAATATCCTTTAGTATGCATTTCTGCCCCCTAATGCATTCTAGATATTGTCTATGAGTCCTTTGATTAGGCATTCATGTCACATTGATACCCTCTGAGAGATGGTGTGTGAGAATTCTAATTTTCTCAGTTAATACAAACCTATCCGGATATATAAATGGACACCAAAAATAATGAGAAAGTGGGTCTGACTTGCAAAAAGCGAATGTAGAAATATCACATATGGAAGGAATAAAAACAAATATGAAAATGGCCCTTGCAAATACAGAACAATTATTCACTTAAAAAGTCTGGATAGAGGGCTCCTCTTTACAGATCCATGAGCTAAGGATTTAAACAAGGGGTGTTTTGTGTCTGAGACTGTGGAAGATGCAATGATTTTGTGAAGGACAGTTGCAACTATTCACCTTGCAGAAAGACCAGGTATTTCAGAGGATATTTGATGCAGGCGAAATTCCAGTTAAAATAGAATGAAACTTCAACTTGTCAGATTCTTGTAAGACTCTTTCAATCCTGCAGCTATGTTATCAGGCTCACAATCAACACATCTCTCTTTTGTAGGTCTCAAAAAACTCCATCTCCTGTGGAAGCTGTTCCAATTTTACCTCAAAACATGTTTAGTATGATCTGCTAATTAATCTTTTATGCTTACTTTATCTCAAATTTAATTGAGCAACTGTCTTGTTCTTATCTATAATTCTGTAAGATGAAAGTGCATTTTGATCTATGGATGATTTGAATAACTTATTCTGAGTAAATAAATGCTGTTACTGTGTTATGTCTGGATTCCATATCCATCCTATTACGCCTTCATTGATAGTGTGCTGAAACCATGAGTCAGATGCTAATATCAGGACTTTTGATAAAAAAATATGAAGATATGGATATAAATAAATGTGTTCATGAAAAAGAGCATCAGTTTCAAGAGAGAGTCCTGGCTAATAATGGTGGTGGTGGTGTACGTAACAGTAGGAAACCTGATCATGGAGACTTACGAGAGCGCATTTAGAACAGTGCTTGAGCTATTAAATAAGCTTGATGAAACAATCAAGCAATGAATGGACACAGCAAAGATGGTGATAACAAAAGTGATGGTGGTGACCACGGTAGTTCACAGGGTAAATAATGGTAATAGATGAGAAAATTCCTTGCAAAGACAATTTTTAAGACAAAACCCACATCTGGGGTTCCCACACAGCTAATTTCCAAGTTTGCACTTGGGTATGCAGCTGGGATTGTCACCTCTCATGAAAAACTATTTGAGATTTTTTAAATTTCTAGGGTCCTGAGGAGGCAATGTCCCTTGATTGATGCCAGCTTCTAACTATGAAGGTTGCAGAATAGAGATGATTCATTTGAGAAATAGAGTTGGTTTGATTCATTTTGCCGTGCCCATGTCTCCCCGTCCCAGAAGAATCCTCACTGAGAGCTTAGCAACTCTAGAGAATCCATGGGAAGGAGCCCAGGGGAGGCCAGCATTTTCAGAAACATGAAATGTAAGTATGGAGTGTCTTGAAAATAAAGAAAGCATAGGAGGTTGCTACAAGTCATCACAACAGTCAGGTGATGGGAAGAGCTGTGGTGATCCAGCAGAGATGAGAACAGCTGAGGTAGGGAGCCAGGTAGGTCTGTGTCTTTTGGAGTGAGCCTATTAGGGTGTGGCAGGAAAACTCTAAAAGGATTGGTATAGACCATGCATCTCCTCACCCACCTGAAAAAACTTTTAAATGACATTTGAGAACCACAAACTACCAGGTTGTAAGGTGCTTTATAAAACATCTTTGTAAACATCTGCAGTTTAGAGAAAAAGAACCTGAGGAAAGAGAGAAGCAATGGTCAGGTCTAATGTTCACTTAGAGTTTCTGGTGAAACACAATTGAAAAGTCAAGTACTAAAGAGAATGCTTTTAACCTGTTAAATACAGCCCTTCTACACCCAATAAGGGTCTTGCCTCATCAGGTCTTCTCTTCCTGCCTCTCTTTTTTTTTTTTGAGAGGTTTTTGCTACAGGGCGCGTGTGCTCGCCAGACAGACAGAGAGACAGAAAGTGAGAAATCACCCCCCAGGGGAGATGGCCACACTGCAATCCCTTCTCCTCCATTCTCTTCTTGGGTACGCACACATACACGCCCGGTGTGAGTTTTAAGCCACCGGGTTCAGGACGCGAACTGCGGTCAACTACATGGGAGTCCAGCAACATAGCCATTAAACTACCTGCTGGTCCCCCTGCATCTCTTTTGAGAAAACCTGATACACATCTTCCTCTTTGAGATTCTTCTTTAAAATATACCCTGCCTTCTCTCTAATTGTTCATCTGACCCTTAAGGTCTGGGTTTTTAGAAATGTACTCAGAGTATGTACATTTTTTCCTTCTTCCGTCTTTTCTTCTTTCAACCTTTATTGAGATAATTCCTACAGAAGTCTCAGTAGTGTTAGTTTTAAAAATATTTGTCTCCTTTTGCACAGTTTAGTACAGATAATTTTTAGACATAGGGAATATAATATTTTTATTAGGGATTGTATGATGGTGAGCTTGGGAATGTACCTCTCTCTCCTGTTTCTTGGCAGAGCATGTCCAGGAAAAGCCTGAGGACTGAGACTCTGGTGCTGTGATATATCCAGTAGGACAAGTGCTGGGCCATGAATAAGGAACCTGAACACTAACTTGTCTGGAACAGATATTGGGCAAATCACTTCTGTCTACAGGGCGCGTGTGCTCGCCAGACAGACAGAGAGACAGAAAGTGAGAAATCACCCCCCAGGGGAGATGGCCACACTGCAATCCCTTCTCCTCCATTCTCTTCTTGGGTACGCACACATACACGCCCGGTGTGAGTTTTAAGCCACCGGGTTCAGGACGCGAACTGCGGTCAACTACATGGGAGTCCAGCAACATAGCCATTAAACTACCTGCTGGTCCCCCTGCATCTCTTTTGAGAAAACCTGATACACATCTTCCTCTTTGAGATTCTTCTTTAAAATATACCCTGCCTTCTCTCTAATTGTTCATCTGACCCTTAAGGTCTGGGTTTTTAGAAATGTACTCAGAGTATGTACATTTTTTCCTTCTTCCGTCTTTTCTTCTTTCAACCTTTATTGAGATAATTCCTACAGAAGTCTCAGTAGTGTTAGTTTTAAAAATATTTGTCTCCTTTTGCACAGTTTAGTACAGATAATTTTTAGACATAGGGAATATAATATTTTTATTAGGGATTGTATGATGGTGAGCTTGGGAATGTACCTCTCTCTCCTGTTTCTTGGCAGAGCATGTCCAGGAAAAGCCTGAGGACTGAGACTCTGGTGCTGTGATATATCCAGTAGGACAAGTGCTGGGCCATGAATAAGGAACCTGAACACTAACTTGTCTGGAACAGATATTGGGCAAATCACTTCTGTCTTCTAAAATTCAGTTCATATTTTACAAAGTAAGGAGTGATTTTATAATTTGGACTTTCTTTGTAGGCTATATATGCCATTCATTTGTTTCTGGAAAAATTTCCTGAGTAAAAGATACCTGATAATTTTGTGGAGAAATAGGAGTTCATCTTTTGTCTTTTCCCCTTGTTCCTATGTGTCATGGATCACGTCAATCACACCTGGACCTGGAGCTTCATACTTTCTGGTTTCACAGCCACTGGGGCCCTGCGACCCCTTGCCTTCTTGGGCGCCCTGTGCATCTATCTCCTCACCCTCACTGGGAACTTATTCATCATCATCTTGGTTCGTGCAGATTCAGGACTCTCTACACCCATGTACTTCTTCATCAGTGTCCTCTCTTTCCTGGAGCTCTGGTACGTCAGCACCACGGTGCCCACACTGCTGCAGACCCTGCTCCATGGGTGTTCACCCATTTCATCAACTGTGTGCTTTATTCAGGTGTATATCTTCCACTCCTTGGGTTTGACTGAGTGCTACCTGCTGGGTGTCATGGCACTGGACCGCTATCTTGCCATCTGCCAGCCACTCCGCTACCATGAACTCATGAGCAGACAGGTGCAGTTGTGGCTAGCCTGGGCCACTTGGGTGGGTGGATTCTCAGCGGCTCTAGTTCCAGCTAGCCTCACGGCAACTCTGCCCTTCTGCTTTAAGAAGGTGGCCCATTACTTCTGTGATCTGGCACCTCTCATGCAGTTGTCATGTGTGGACACAAGCTGGCATTCTCACATCTATATTGCAGTAATTGGCATAATCAACACATGCAATCTCATGTTCATTTTGGTGCTCTATGGGGGCATCCTAAAAGCTGTGCTGAAGCTGCCCTCAGCTGCCAGCCGTGCCAAGGCCTTCTCCACCTGTTCTTCCCACATGATTGTAGTAACACTCTTCTTTGGCTCTGCCTTTATTGTCTATGTGGGGCCCCCTGAAATCCGGGCTGAGGGCAGAGACAAGTTTATTGCCTTAGTATATTCTCTTTTTACCCCCTTTTTCAATCCTATCATCTATACCCTTCGTAACAAGGAGGTGAAGGAGGCCATCAAGCGGATCTCTCAGAGGATTAGAGCTGTTTGGAAGAGGTTCTGAGGATGTGTGAAGTCATAGACCATCTACTTGGTAATTGTAGAATTTGGTTAGTAAGTCAACTAAATCACCTAATTTAACTTTCAATCCAAAACTATTTTATACATGCATTGAACAATGAGTAAAATGCATTCAGTCTCGTATTGAGAATAATTCAAATATTAGAAGAAGTATTTTCCTTGAACCTACTAACATGCTACTCAGAATAAAATAGGATAAAGTGTAGCGTTTTAGGTAGGCTTAGAAATTAAATAGAGATCCAACTGTGTCGAGAGAATTATAAAGGACCAATCAGACTACAGAGTTGTGGCCAAGATAGGATTCTTGGAGATGGGTTGAAAAGACAGTGAGTAAGGTTAACCAAAAGAAAAACAAGTGGACTTGTTAAGTTCATGTTCCTGTATGGGTTGCTTTGAGTGTGCTTAATAGGCTTATAAGTATGTGGAGTTGAATGTTCCTGGATGACCAAATAATGAAAGGATATTTGAAACTGAAGCAGAGCATTTACTCTCTAATAGAAATGAATGGGGATTGGAATTGAGGGCACTGGGTATGCCTATGTTCTAAAATGAATTCCAAAAACATAGCCTACACTTTGAATTTGAAATCAGTCAGTCAACCAGGAATATTGATGGAGTCTCATGAATGAAAAAATAACTAGTGGAGCCAAGTAGAGATATTAAAATTATGCACAATTGTAGGTTCAAAGCTTGCAATTTTACTGTCAATTTCTTTTTTCTTACACACACACACACACACACACACACACACACACACACAAACACCAGCAGCAGCAAGAACATATTGACTAACTTCAAGAAATGGACTTTTTGTTCTGTGTGAACTAGCAGTTATGAAAGGTCATGAAAATTGATAGAAAGAAGTGCATAAATGGCAAAGGGACTAAAGACAATAAAAGGAATTCTCACAGAATTTCACTTAACAGTCAACCCAAGTGTCACACTTTGAAATCCTACCACCCACCCTGCACACTCATTTAGTTCTTCTCTGAAGCTTCTCTTCGTACCAGGGGTGGAACTGTAAGATCCTCCTAGGAGACTCCCTGTCTCAGGATAATGTGGATATAATTCTACTGAAATACAGATAGAAAACTAATTTTTGAAATGGAAACTCTCTGGGCAGAACTTGCTTCTATTTCTTCTTCTCTCTCTTTAGCACTTTCTCCTGATTTCTTAGCGATAGAGTAAATGAGTTTTGGGTTCCCTGCTTTAAAACAATAATGTTGAAATGCTTTATTGCTAATGTAAAGATCACTGAATTTTTTAAGAAGACATGTGTGCATGGAGAAAAATGTGTCTGGGGTGCTACGTAGTGGCATTTGCCTCCATTTAATTCACTAATCCTGACAAAGATAAAAGAAATTCTAGTGTTCTCAACTACTTTCATCTTAATATACTAATCTTGAAGATCATAAAATATTTGAGCATCCCCAACTATTAATTTGTAGATAGGTGCCCAATTTGAAACAGTGTAGCCATGGAAAGCATTTTCCTGATCATCCCGCACAGATATGGAATATACTGTCTGCTCTAACGTTTGGTGGATTCTAAATGAAGGGAAACATTTTCTATATATATATAAAAAATGACATATGGTGTTTGTGCTCACTAGTAAGAGAGAGAGAGAGAGAATGAAAATATATCCCCTTTCTGACCCAAGGAGATGACCAAGAATCCTCTCAGGATTTGGGACATGCTCACACATGCACCCAGCATGTTCTTGAAAATGCAGGATCTGAGAGTCAACCATGCAGTCAGTTACGTGGGATCCAGCAGCCTTAATCACCACACCACCTGGCTGACCAAAATAATTTTATTGACTTGTCAGAAAAATATACAAAAATGTATCATGGCTTCTCTGACAACCCAACAATAATTAAACCACCAAGATTTATCTTATAGGAGAAAAACAACTGTAGTAGAAATCAGCCCGTGATTCTTTGCTTTTCCAAGTCAAAGTAATTTTTCTTTTGCAGTGAAAATTGGCTATGTTGAAGTCTCAAGGCAAACCAACACATAACCTTAAAGATTTGAAAAACAACATTTAAGTAGAAGAATGCCACTAGGAAGTAACTGAATCATTGAACTTCTGATTCAGGTGGCACTTAAGAAGTCATTCAGACAAAACTCCTTTGTCTTTAAGAAGATAAAACTGAAGTCAAGAGGTGGAAATAACGTAGACTGCATGTCAATTTTGATATAGGCTCAGAATGGGATAGGATCCAAATTTTCTAACCTTCCCAGTGTGTCATTACATCATTTAGCCCCTAATTATCTTTTTTTCTTTTACTTGAGGCAAGAATCCTACGGTTCTGAGTATCTTGTGGCAGAAGTGAAGCTGCTGCTTCAGTGCCTGTCTTTCCCATAGCGAATCTCTCTTGTGTGGGGTATTGAAAGGCCTGCCTGGTCAGCCTTTCTGCTTTCAGTAATTTCTACTTTCCTTTTCAGAGTAGGAGTGGGGAACCTACTTCACAGAACCATCCTATGTCTCTGCCTAATTCCATCATCCCTGATAACACAGGAATTCATGATACAGATTCACCATTTAAAATCACATATTCTCTGTCCATTTCCTTATTAAATCACCAACAGCATGAAAATGGATAAATATCTTTTCAAAATCAAATAGTAGGTAGAATATAAACTCAATCCAAAAATGTAACTCTAAGGAAAAGGAAGAAAAAAAAAGTAGTTTAAAGGCCTAGAGACTCTGATTATGCCAGCTGGTCTGCCCCTTCTCTACCATTTCTGACAGTATGTGTTTTCCAGAAACTCCATGAACCCAGGAACTGTGCTACATATGACCTTTAACTTGAATTACCTTTTAGGTAAATGTAGGATAACAAGAGAAAATTTTTTTCAACACGATTATTTGAAAGGTGTTTGTTGACTACAGTCATGTAATCTATAAACTATCCCAATATTTCACAGGTAAGTTACTCAGTTTTCTGTCTCTCCTAGATCTGTAATCAATATGTGATTTCCTTTGTAAAATTTATTTTTAAAGAACATGGGAAAACTCTACATGGAAGAACCCGTAGGCTTCTACGAAGTAAACAATCATTCACTCAAATGCCAGGTTTTTTGTGAGTATACACACATATGCATGTGTGCAGTAAAATAAAGGATAGGTCCTAAAGTAGAAAAGAGAATAAAATTTTTGAGAGATATCAAATAAAAAATATAAATCAGATAAGTCATAAATAAAGATTTAAAAATTCAAAGAGAATAATTAACATGCCCTGCTTAGTAGGAGTATAGAATATAGGTCAGCTTTTCAATTATAAATTGAATTAAGCAAATCCATAAATGCTAATCCATAAAAGAAGTCTCCACACCTCAACATGACTAAGACAATTAATAATGTTTATACCATGTTGACCCTTGCTTTAATGAGGTAATTAAAGTAGAAGTAAATAATTAAAGAATAAATTTAATGTTTACACTTATTCTATTAAAAAACACTTATAAACAATTTATGAGTCTCAGAAGAAGTTGTAAGAAAAGTAGATAACACTTAGACTTGAATGATAATAAAAAACGTAACTTTAAAACTATGAGGATAAAGCTTAAGTGTTTCTTCGAATTTTATGGTCTTAATTGTATACAATATTAGAAAAGAAATGTGCAAAACATTGGTTTTGCATGGTTAAACATTTAATTAACAAATTAGTGAAATAGGGATAGGGGGCAGGCAGTGGTACAGTGGTACAGTGGTACAGTGGTAATACAAATAAATCTCCAGGGGAAGGTCCTGAGTTCACGTCTCTGGGCACATGTGTGTCCATGGGTCCATGGTACAAGCCAGCTTATGCTAGGGTTAAATTGCAGTGTGGATGCTCTGTTGGGATTCCTGTTTCTCTCTTTTTTTTTTTTTTGGAGAGGTTTTTGCTATAGGGCACGTATGCTCGCCAGACAGACAGAGAGACACATAGAGACAGAGAGTGAGAAATCACTCCCCAAGGGGGATGGTCATGCCGCAATCCCTTCTCCTCCATTCTCCTCTCGGGATCTTGGGCACGCACGCACACGCGCCTGGCGTGAGTTTTAAGCCACCGGGTCTGGGAAACAAACCGCGGTCAACAACGTGGGAGTCCTGCGACACAGCCATTACGCTAACTGCTGGTTCCCAAGGGATTCCTGTTTCTCTATCTTTTGTTTTGTCTTTCTTTTTCATAGAAAAAATAAATAAATAAATAAACTTTGAATTTATTTTCATTTTTTCCTTTTAATTGTCAGAGGGAGTATGTATTCACAAAAGTGGGAGAAAGAGAAAATAGATTCTTCGAGGAGAAATTACACTCATACCATAATTCTTAGTCCTCCATTTCTCCATGCTGTTAGAATTTTGAACATGCTTTACACGTGCATGGAATTCTTTTTTAAGCCACCAGAGCAGGGATTTGAACCATAGTTGGCCATAAGAGATCCAGCTTCCTAAACCAATAAGGTATTGGGCCACCATCTAAAAAATTAAGAATAAGAGAAATTGAAGAAATAATATTAGAGGGAAAGAAAGAATGAGAAAAATATATAAACATAGGATCAAAAATTGATATAAAAATAAATATACAATTAAAACATATAAATCAAAAAGTTGGTTTCCTGAAAAAAACATAATATGAACCTGTGATAAGACCAATAAATTATAAAAAAAGGAGTTAAGTAAATTAAGAATAAAAATTTTTATTAATACAAACTACATGCATGCTTTGAAAAAACAAATTGTACCCCACAAAAATATACAATTAAATGTAAACAAGAAATAATGAAATAAATAAAATTTTACAAAATAAAACAAATTTTAAAAAGTGTGCCCTCTAGGGACAAGAAATAAACTTTCAATCATAATCTATAAGGGCTATAAAGTAACAAATAAATTCTGAACTTCATGAAAATAAAAAAAAGAGAGCATTTCTAATTGAAATAAAATGCATGAAAATCTAACAAAACATGTTCAAGACTTTCTTAAAATTCTTATAA